CCCCAAAACCCCAAAACCCCAAAACCCCAAAACCCCAATTTTAAGAGTTTTAAAGAAATAAAATTCAAATAATATTTAGAAATTATGTCTGAAGACACTGATCTGGACGGAGTTGGATTCTTCAACTGTATCGGAATACTCATAACTCTAATTGTCGGTTTTGCATTCATTTTTGTGCTTGCGCGAACGCTTATGTTTATTAGAAAGATCATCTTCAAATTAAGAATCATAATGAAGAATAGCTACATCAACGAAAAAGCATGTCTAGGATTGCCTATTAGTACAAATAATAGAGCTGAAGAATATACTCAAAGGAGAGATGTATTCAGAAAAGAAATTATCAGAAGTTGGAATCTAAGATTCACGAATGTATTTAAATATGTTCTTGACAGGTACAACCATCTTGTCTATATCATATTCTGTCGCACCAGGACTAAGATTGATAAACTAAATCTTCTGAAACCCCAGTTCTCATTCTATCTGATGATCTGGTTCCTTCCGTTTTTTGTAATGTGGACATTGGCCATATTTATAGTTGGCACTGATCTCACAATTCAGGCAGGAACTGCATTGGGACTTTCCATTGTCGCTGGTTTCTTTGGTAGTCTTATCAGTGTTGTGCTAACTTTTTGGCTTCATTATTTCTGGAATAAAAATATTTGGGCTGCCTTCGAAAGAGGATCAGAGGAAAAGATCCAAGCTATTGAGGAACTTGATCCGAATATTGCCGTAGAAATGCCAGCTATTAATAACGAAGAGGATGACAACCAATCGATAACCACAAATGTGACAAGAATTTTTAATTACAGGCTAACTTCAAGAAATGCATTCTTAGGTGAAGAAGCGAAAGCTCAAAGAAATAGGATGAGACGTATCCAAAACACATTGTTAGTCCCTGAATCACAAGCGAATACTGAGGAACAATTTAGGGCTACTTTCATGACTAATTTTACCAGAAGAACTTTAGTAACAAACACAAGAACTGAAGATGAAGAGAATAAATTGCAGAGAAGCCCCCAAAACATGGACACCAGACTGCAATCAAGTCCCGAGCATGAGGAGGAAAAATCTGAAGCTCAGACAATGGCTCAAGATGAGCCTTTAGCATGCTATAAATTGATTAGAGATAGAGAGACTCTAGGTGATGTTAGACTTATTCAGCAAGAATCTGAATCAATACGAAATATTCAAAACATATTCTTTTTCCTACTACTAATAATCACACTTTGTGTATGAGTTGGGATTGCTTCATATACCAGTTTTGTGATGTCGAATGAAGCTGCTCTCATGGGATTCATAATCTTTGTCTTTGGAATAATACTGGACATGCTAATCTTCCGTCTATTCTTCTGTTTCCTAATGACGTTATTCTTGAAATGCATTGCCACCAATAGAAAGTTGCAAGGATCGATTCAGCTCTCTGGAAAAACATCGCAAATGGTACATAGAATGCTGCAAGATATGATGCTTGGGACAGTCGAAAAGAACAGAGTAAAAGAGCATAAAGAGAAGATTGCAAAAGTAAAACCTCTGAAAACAAAACCTAAATTAGCTGAAATATTCCTAAAACGCAAACTAGCTGAGATTAGGAAAAATAAAGGAGAGAAAGAAGGCAAAGAAGATTCTGAAGACAAAGAGGAAGACCAAGAGATTAATATCCATAATCTTCAGAAATTCGATATTTTTGAAGAAAAAGAATATGCGAGATTGTCTTCTGAAGGAGCCTCCACTGGACGCAAAATTGCTTACTCAGTACATGAAGATGAACAAGTTGAAAAATCCGGTGGGGAGGAAGAGAAGAAATCAACATCAGGGATTGTTGAAGATAGTAAAAAGGATTTTAGTAATGGAGGCATTAATGAAGACGAGAAGCAAGATAACCTAGAACAAATAAACAATTTAAGTAAGGATGGAAGCGGTGAAGGAAGCAAAGAAGGAAGTAAAGATGTTAGTGCTGAACAAAACTTGCTGAATGATGTGTCAAATGAAAAATCTTTGACTATGAAGAGGCTAGTTGGATATTATAAAGATAAAGTAGATCCAGAGCCAGAAACATACAATGATTATTGATTTGAGGAGGATGAATTCTTCCCATCTGTCCTCAATGAATGCATAGAGTTGAATCTTCTTCTCCTTGAAAAAATTTACAACACTTTCAAGAGAAAAGCTGCAACAGTAGTGAAGAATTTTAGAAAAGATAACTTTCACCACTTGAAACCAAAAATAATAGAAGCTACCAAGCCTCCTCCAGATGAACTTCTAAGAAATAAAAAGAGGAATGACCAGGTCAATGAGTTAGATGATATTCTGGAAGAAAACTCAATACATGATGAAACCGCTTTGATTGATAAGAATTCCCAAATTGAAGATACTTATGATGAAGATAAGGACATTGCAAGTGGCTCTGAAATTCGAGGTAGTGATCACGATTTTGAAAATGAATTGAATGAGAGGATTGATCGTAACGGCCTCAGGACGGCATCGAGAGAAGGAATGAACAGAGACGAAGAAGACGCTAGAAGGAAAGCTTTATTAGCAAACCTCCACTCACAAGAATCCAGCAAAAATGAGTCAAGAATATCTTCAGCAATTCCAGAAGATGATCAAATTGCTTTCCAAGATGCAAATCTGGCTAATATAAATAGCAAAGATGGGAGCGATATGGATATAGTTGATGATCTCGAAGAACAGGAAATGGTTTACTATCCTAAAGAAGATCAGACTCAGTATTCTAAACCTCTTGGATTAAACAAGGCTCCTAAGAAAAAGGATCCCGAACCATTCTCATTTGGTGAAAATTCTCTGAAGCCATCATATGACCACTCAAAATTACTAGAAGACCAGACACAGAATGAGGTACTTTCAGATTTCCTTGATGATCTTGAAGGTATTGATGAAGGCGATGAAAGTATAAATCTAATCCCTGGAGGTACTCAAGATCCCAATGATCCTCATGACCCACACGGCACTCTAGGGCCTCATGGTCCTCACGGCACTACCGGACTTCTTGGAGATGCAGATGATATTCATGGAAGAAATGGAGGGGCTCATGGAAGAACTGGAGATATTAATGGAGGTATCGGAGGTTTTGGAGGAATTCTTGGAGATCCAGGCAAAGGTAAAAAGAAAAAGCGTCAGAAAAAGAAGAAACTGACAGAAGAACAAAAGAGGAGACTTAGAAAGGTTGGAGATATCTATGGCCAAAATGCAGAAGATTTGGGATTATCTCCAAGAGGAGGTAAAAAGAAAGGTAGAATTACTAAAAAGAAGAGCAAAAGCCCTAATAGAGGAAAGAAAGGAGGAACTAAACAAGAAGAAAGAGCTACAAGATTCAGAGGACTCAATCTCAACAGGCCCGAGCGAAGTGAGGCTGGAGAATACGATAAGCTCAAAAGAAAACTGCAAAAATTTAGAAAGAGAAAAGATTTATCATTCTGGGTTGATTATGACTCACCTTATGCTGAATTCCTGCCCCACAGATTCAGAGAGTGGGTTCCAGAAACAAAAACGGGATTAAACTTAGATGAAAATCCCAAGAATATGCATGCAAATTATAAAGCTATGGAGCTTTCCAAAATTTACTCTAAAGGACACGGAATGGTGGAGGAAACAAAAGAGGATGAAGAATTTGATCCCATTACTGGAAACTATCTCTCCCCTAACCGAGCTCCTAGCCATAATTTACGGCCGAAATCAAACGCTTCGATGAACGTTGAGAGTGTTGACGAATTATCATCAAAAAAGAAGTCTAGGGGAATGACTTCCTCTAAGAGGAATAAAAGCTTGAACAAACTGCCAGTAGTTGAAAATTCAGAAGAAATAATAGATTTCTAGATGTTTTAATAAATTCAGAATATGATGATTAATTCATTAAATATTGAGTTGTAATGTCAACCCTCTCGCATATAATGGGGTTTTGGGGTTTTGGGGTTTTGGGGTTTTGGGG